AAAGGGACTAGAGAATCTGAGAAAACAGCAGCAGACCGCTCCAAAGGCAATAGAGAGTCGGAGAGAAAAGAGCAGCAGACCGCTCGGAAGGGGCTGGAGATCTGAGAAAAGAGCAGCGAACCGCTCGAAAGGGACTAGAGAATCGGAGAAAAGACCAGCGAACCACTCGAAAGGGACTAGAGAATCTGAGAAAAAGAGCAGCGAACTGCTCGAAAGGGACTAGAGAATCTGAGAAAAGAGCAGCAGACCGCTCGAAACGGACTAGAGAATCTGAGAAAAGAGCAGCACAGACCGCTCGAAAAAGAATAGCGAATCTGGGAAAAGAGCACTAGAGAATCTGAGAAAAGACCAGCGAACTGTTCGAAAGGGACCAGAGAATCTGAGAGAAGAGCAGCGAATTGCTCGAAAGGGACTAGAGAATCTGAGAAGAGAGCAGCAGACCGCTCGAAAGGGACTGGAGAATCTGAGAAAACAGCAGCAGACCGCTCGAAAGGGACTAGAGAATCTGAGAGAAAAGAGCAGCGAACCCGGTTGATAGGGACTGGAGAATCTGAGTAAAGAGCGCAACCCAAAAGAGCAGCAGACCGCTCGAAAAGGGACTAGAGAATCTGAGAAAAGAGCAGCGAACGGCTCGAAAGGGACTAGAGAATCTGAGAAAAGAGCAGCAAAACGATCGAAAGGGACTAGAGAATCTGAGAAAAGAGCAGCAGAGACCGCTCGAAAAGGAATAGCGAATCTGGGAAAAGAGCAGCGGACCGCTCGAAAGGGACTAGAGAACCTGGGAAAAGAGCGTAGAGAATCTGAAGAAAAGAGCAGTGAACTGCTCGAAAGGGACTAGAGAATCTGAGAAAAGAGCACAAGCCGCTCCAAAGGGACTAGACAATCTGAGAAAAGAGCAGCGAACCGCTCGAAAGGGACTAGAGAATCTGAGAAAAGAGCAGCAGAGACCGCTCGAAAAGGAATGGAGAATCTGAGAAAAGAGCAGCAGACCGCTCCAAAGGGGCTAGAGAATCTGAGAAAAGAGCAGCGAACCGCTCGAAAGGGACTGGAGAATCTGAGAAAACAGCAGCAGACCGCTCGAAAGGGACTAGAGAATCTGAGAAAAGAGCAGCGAACCCGGTTGATAGGGACTGGAGAATCTGAGTAAAGAGCGCAACCCAAAAGAGCAGCAGACCGCTCGAAAAGGGACTAGAGAATCTGAGAAAAGAGCAGCGAACCGCTCGAAAGGAACTAGAGAATCTGAGAAAAGAGCAGTGAACCGCTCGAAAGGGACTAGAGAGTCGGAGAAAAGAGCAGCAGACCGCTCCAAAAGGGGACTAGAGAATCGGAGAAAAGAGCAGCAGACCTCGACTTCTTGCGCCCCAGCGAGGTACAGAAACGCAAGCATCCTACCTTCGGGATACGACACGTCTCCAAGGTCTGCGCGATCCTTGCCCGCTTTGGAAACAGGAACAATGAGACACGGCTTTACCCTTAACCCTGAACCACTAATACAAAAAATCTAGACCAAAACCCTTAGTCACTCCAAAACCCCTATGCCCTAAAAACCCCTAAGTCCTAAAAACCCCAAAACCTCAAAAGGTTCGGAGGGGCCTTTGGGCATGCGGTTTGCTCCATTGGTTCGACTATCCACAAGCCTGCTCTACCGCGACAGCAGTGGTCCTTTTCTGTTGGGATTGATCTGGGTTCTTGGTCCTGTGCCGCACCTCGTATCCCCCAGACTGCGCATAGCCGGTGACGACTGTCGTGTAGGTGGCCAGGTCGACAATCTGATACCTTGCTGTGACTCTGCCATCCCATGAAACCCTGTAGATCAACAGCTTCTGGCACGAAGACGCAAGCTCAAGACAGTCATGGGACCCTTTTCCGCCGAGCTGCAGCAGCATGTTCAGCCCAACGCACTCCCCGACCCGGGCACCGAACGCGCGGGCAACCCAGGCGGTGACACCCCCGTTGTTCAGGGGAGGCATCATGGACAGTTCACTTGTCATCAGGATCTGCGGCAGCACGTAGCCTGCACCAGGCTGACGGGTGGGAGTTTCGGGAAACCCCAATCAAAGTTAGAGACCCCAAAGTGCTTGGATCGTCGGTTAGGACCCCCTCATTTTCTGAAGCACCCAGGTGGCCCAAAGCTCAGAGGCCCTCCAGGAAGCTGAAACATCTCGTCCAGCCAGAAAGGGTTTAAGGTTTATGGTTTATGGTTTGGGGCTTAATGCTTGGGGTTTAGGCATCAACAACAACTCGAGCCCCTAAACCCGAAAACTCCATCCCGAAAAGGCTGAACCCAAAACGCTGAAACCTTCACCCTGCACCCTGAAACTTAAACCTACAACTACATGGCCCCTAAACCCTAAACCCTAAACCTACAACCACTTAGCTACATGACCCTAGGATTCCCACACACCTCCAGGGCTGCACCCTCCCCACAGCAGCGGAGCTTCAGAAACCCAAGCACCCCAAGATGGAATAATACGTAGTAGGATGATCCTTGGGTTTTTCACCCTTAAATACTTACTTCCCCAATAAGCCAGGGAAATGAAAGGTTAAACCATCAGGTTTACTACTAAATCATAAGAACCCAAAACGTTTAAAGGTTGGGTATGGTAGAACTAAGAATATATATATATATAGTGACCCCCAGTTTCTGAAACCCCGAATCCCGAATCGCCTGTCATGGTCAGGAGAAGGCCAAGGAAGCATGCCGGAGCTCCGGCTGTGCGCACGCAGGCCTGGCCGTAAGGGTTTAGGGTTTAGGGCACTTGGGGTCCCTTGGGGTTTCGGCTTTAAGGGGGGTGTGGGCTTAGGTGGGGCTGAGAGCGAGGGAGTTTCAAGTTTGGGGCTCAGGGGACTCCAAGTTGGAAGTTTCGGGCTGTGGGTTTGGGGAAAAGAGCTTAGGTTTTAGGGTGTTAAAAGGCAGAACCGGGAAAGCTGCGAGCCCCCGCCACTTGAGGCTTCGGAATCCGCAATCGGGTGCAGGTCTGAGGGCTTTGGTTTAGGGGTTTAGGTAGGGCAGTCAAACGTCGGACAAAGAGTGCAGGTGCGACCGTCGGGACCGTGCATGAGGCCAAAGCCACACGCCAAATCCCCCAGGCCAAAAGCCAATACAATAGGGGCCTTAATAATTCGAACAGGGTTTTGGGGTATACTGTACTATAACTATAATAAGGAACCTTCAAAGAGTATGGCTAATTATTTGGGCCCCTACATTACACCAAGCCGCCAGGCCAACTGCAAAGCATGAGAAACCCGGCTCAGCTTGTCGCCGGCCTCCACACCGAAAGGTCCGGCACAGGTCATTGCAAAAGCCATAGATGCCACATGCCTCCACGCTGCTGGCATTTCGGGTTTCTGGTGCTTGCATAATAGTATCCCGAGGTTTCCATCAAGACCACATCAGCTAGAAAAGACAGCGGCAGTTCAGACGAAGACCTCAGAAGGACGCCTGGTCCGGAGAGTGTGCCGGCGCGCTCCACAGAAACTCTCCGACTCCATCGCCAGCGTGCCGATGGATTGCGGAGAAGGAGGGGAGGGCTGCGATACAAGGGCGGGCCAAAATGATTCGGGACCGAGCTTTCACAAGAGGCTTCGCGGGCGTCTGTCGTCTGGCATACAAGATGGGAAACACGAACGAGACTGTCGAACTCGCTAGTTGTCATTTAGAGGCAGCAGCCAGGCCCAGCTAGGCTGGCCTTCGGGATAAGGAAGAATAGCAAGACCTCCCCCCAGGAACACCCTGGACCCGAAGATAGTTCAGCCACGCTCTGTGTCTTGAGTCTTGCTAAAACATGAACTGTTAGTCTTGATGGGAACGAAAGGCTTTTCAGTTCTGTTGCCGGTGTTAACGTACTCTGATAGCACCAACCTACAAAACAATGCCGAAACTTGCGAGGTCTCGGAACTTCATGTCAGAAAGAGGAACTGTTGGGTAACAGCGGGCGGTCTCTTGTCCTTTTTGCTGTTCCGCACAACACCTCCGGCCACGCCTGCCAAGTCAGCTTGGCGCATGGCCGTTCATATTGCACAGCCCTTCCGCGCTTAGGAAGCGGGCCTGAGGACTCTAAAGACAAAGGGGCGCATTGCCGCTTCGGGAAGCTGACAGCTGCGTCGTTAGCCGGAGAGGGCGCGCCCTCCCAAAGCCCAAGGCCCAGGGCTCTCTTTATCCTTTCTTCCGAGGGCCGGCAGCCTTCGGGAGAGGCCGCTTCTTCTTCTTGCCTCAGGGAGTGGGACCAGAGGCCCTCAAAGAGGGGAAGACGGAGCTAGAGCTGAGGCTGACTGACGGAGGCTTGACCAATCTAGACCAGCGGCGAAGCACGTAGGTCTCGAAGTATGGATACCTCGGGTTTGCACGTTTCATGTGCAAGAACTGCTATCTCAAACGAAAGGAGCTTGGGGCTCACTAGGTCACGAGGTCTCGGCAATCTTTCCAAGGAGTTCGCTGCAGAACCTGCAAAACGTCTCGCTGCGGTCCCTGGGACAAGTAGTCCGCAGCGATGTAGCACACCAGCAGCAAAATCCTCAGCTCTGTCTCCTACTTCAGCACCTCAACTCACCATGTCCTCCTCCGGTGCCCTTGCAGCTGAAGGGCACTCCGATGAAGGCCTAGGGCTCTCTTCGGACAAGCGGGCGTTGACTTCAAGCCGCAGGTTCGGTAGGGCAGTCAGGTCAGTAAGGCTCCAACCATCTCCGACCAGCTGACCTTTGAAATAGGCAGGATACGCCGGTTGGCTAGACACCACACTGCAGAACTTGATGCATAATGTCCGAGAGGCCGGAGCAGACTGTTCTTCTTCGACTATTGCCTCTGGATCGAGCTGCTTCATGTGTACCTTCTCAATTTCCGACTGTTCGGCTCCAGGCTAGATATTCATGCATGTCATCTCTACAACCACACAAAACGCGAAATCGCAAGCGCAGCGATGACCCTGTCCTTGACGATCTCGTCTAGGAAGTCATCCAGCTTAGACATGCTGGGCTCGAGAATGTGTGCAGCACCCCCCCTCCAGGCAGCGCCACGTCGCCAAGACGGTGCCCCTAACCCGAAACCCCCCCCAAAAAAAAGTACATCGTGGAATCGATAGTTACTAGTTTGATCACGACTGTTCATCTGCTACTTTCATGGCAGAGAGTACGACACCGAGCATTGGAGCTAGATAAAATTGGTAGGTCGCCCCTGCCCTATGCAGAGCACCACCGGGTGAAGCTCACTGCAGTGACGTTACCAGTACCATCCACTGACCCTCAGGACTGTCCTAGGCGCCGTTTCCTGGATGGTAGCGCTTACTTGTGGTCTGCAAGATGAGCTATCCTCTGGGCCATAGTGAGCTGCGCTGACGACAGCCGGGCCTGAAGTACCATAGGCATCTCGCAATGGCATAGAGCCCTGGTTCCGAGCATGTTCTAAGCCAAATTGGATGTCTCTTCATGGGCCGTCAACCGAAGATTTTCGAATCGTGTGCACGAGTACACCTACAGTGCCAGTATTGTGGACCACTCCTGGATTCTTGGCACAGCTGCAGTAAAGAATCTAGAAGCTGGCTAGAACCACGGCGACACCAACTGTTTTGTCATCGCGTCTCCGGGCCCATCCCGGCCAGAGGCTCTTAACGGGAGCAGGCGGGCCTGCAAAGGCAAAGCTAAAAAACTCATCTGCAAGGCACTGCAGGGCAATCCAATGCCATCGCCAGTGAGCAAGATGTATGCAGCTGTATGCTTTTTGTCATTGTTATCGAGACGCTGAGTTCATGGCTCTGCGACGAGCAGCAATACGAGGGCATGCGTGATTGGTAGGGCGCGACACGGCGTTGCCCTGCGATGCTATTTCGGGGCCATGTAAATGACGGAAACGATTGAATTCTTGTGCAAAAAATTGTCACAGATTCATTCTCGAACAGCTCTCGCGCAGAGGTCCCACTCAATCTCGTAGACAGATTGCTTCAGTCCTTGAAACATACTAGTGCGACCACTGGCACACAATCATCATGCCGTTGAGAAGGCCATCTCTGCACTTATTGCTTGATGGCTTTCACCATCCGGATCCTTAGACATCTCCCTGCAGAACTCATGCGCAACTATGATCACGCAGAGAGTTCTCTCTGCGAGCACACACCCTGCAAGGACACATACCAGGCTAGAAAACTGTTCATCGAAGGGCTCATTGTCAACCCGGTGTGGCTGCGCAGGTATCTACACAAGCTTGAGGGAGACTGAATGGACTCACTGACCCTGCCTTGCACAAAAGGCCTTACAGGTCATGTTGGCCTGCAGTTTCCTTCTGCGCGGGCCAATGCTGAAAATTGAAGCTCCTCGCGAATCAACGCCTCTGCCTTTACCTGAAACCCCGGAAACTTGAGAATCCTCCTCACTCGACTCCGAGCCCCTGCAGGATTCGAATGTGCGAAACAGATTACAAAGAAGCTGAAGGTTTCTCTTCCTGAAGATCGTGGAGAGGCTGCAAGGTCCTGCGTCTGCCGTGCTTCTCACGTCACCACCTCGAAGCCCTCAGGGAACTCTACGCAGATGTTTCAGCTGTGCCCTTCGTCGGTACTGGTCTCATCAACAAAGCTCCTATGGGACTGCTCGGCTGCCCTGCCCCTGGTAGGCCCGACGATTCGGCCTGATGTGAAGGCGAGGACTGATAGCCCTGAACAGGGGCGGATCTCGGATGTCGCTTATGCTGCACTCTCCATGCTCTGCCCTTCTTCACCGGAGCAGCCTAAGCTTCTAAAACTGCCCGACCGAATGCATGCATCAAAGACCGGCCTTGTCGAAAGAATTGAGCAGATCCACATGAAGGTGTGGCTGGTAGCCAGTGGTCATTGACCGCATCTGACAGGCACGCACGTCAAGCTAAAACATCACAGAATCACAGCTAGCTTGGCACGCATGTGCGCTTGCTTGCACTGAATGATCGAAACCAACAGAGCGGGGATGAGCTCAGCATGCAGGAGGGGTGTGTCGAGGCTGCCACACACTGGTGGAAGTGCTCCAGATCGTTGCCAGTGGTTGGTACCCCCATTCCTCCGACCTTGATAGCTCTACATATTTGACTAAGACATCCGTCGTGGCAGTCTGTCGGCCGATTCTCAGCCCCCGGCGTCGATGAAAGACACCGAGGCTGTGCTCTCATCATAATAGATGTTGGAGGGCTGGAAGTCACCGTGCTGCTGGTTGCCGTAGCCTAGGCCGCCGAAAGGAGCGCACGAGTACGAGCACGAGCACTGGTACTGGTCGTAGAGTGGCAGGAGTTGTTGTGGTCGTAGTAGTAGTAGTAGCAGTAATAATAATAACAATATAATAGTAGTAGTAGTAGTAATAATAATAATAACAATATAGTAGTAGTAGTAGTAATAATAATAATAACAATATAGTAGTAGTAGTAGTAGTAGTAGTAGTACTCTTAGTAGTAGTAGTAGTAGTAGTAGTAGCAGCAGTAGCAGTAGCAGCAGTAGTAGTAGTAGTAGTAGTGGTGGTAGTAGTAGTCGTAGTAGTCGTAGTAGTCGTCGTCGTCGTAGTAGTAGTAGTAGTGGTAGTAGGAGTAGTAGTAGTAGTAGTAGTAGCAGCAGCAGTAGCAGCAGTAGCAGCAGCAGCAACATCAGGAGTAGGAGTAGGAGTAGTAGTAGTAGTAGTAGTAGTAGTAATAGTAATAGTAGTAGTCGTGGTGGTGGTGGTAGTAGTAGTAGAAGAAGAAGAAGTCACCCTGCCA